TTTACGTCTGTTTTCCTTGTTTTGTAATATTTATTTTTACAAAGATTTTTATTTTGACAGCAAAAAGGAGTAGCTCTTTATCTCTTCTGTTGAATAAAAGTAGCTCTTTGATTGAAAAACGTTGTAGACCCCAGCTTTAGAGGATTGTCTAAAACCTATGTCTACCTAATCTCAAGAAAATGATTCAATGATTACTGCTTTAACACTAGTAGTAGTAGTAGTAGTAGTAGTAGTAGTAGTAGTAGTAAGTAAGAAGTTGCATATATACAGAGACTTTCACAGACCAGGGTCACAAAGCGCTTAACAGTAACATAGAATAATACAGTTTAAACGGTTCAAAAAATCACAATAGGCCAAAACAACTCAGTGACAATCATAGCGAGTTAAACTTAAGCCTTTTGAAAGAGTCAACAATGAAAGATGGTTCCAACGCTTGGGAGCAACAGCCAAAATGTTCAGGTGTAGTTTTCTTTTTTCCTTACTTTATTTTTACATCCTCGAAACACCCCTGCCCCGTCTACTGTTTTCAAAAACTGTTCAGGCGTAGTTTTGTGAAATGATAAAGACGTGAAAGTATTTTATATTTCTTTACAGAACCGATCCATAATGAAAATATCCATCACGGTACCTCAAACTGAGCCTTTGAGAATTAAAACTGCCACTTGCTGCTAATTGATGTACAGCTCCTTTAGAAGTGTGGATCAGTCATCTTAGATTTCATGATTAGACCAAATCCATCAACAATCCCATCTCTCGGAGTAAATGCATGTGTTTGCTCTGTCCTGGAGTCAATATTGGCTTGTGGAGATAAAGTCAGGGTTTTCCACAATGCTTAGGTTACACCAGTGCCTGCACTTGTCTCCTCACGGCCTTTGTGCTGTGGGCCGGCTCCTTCTCGGCCTCCTTCCTGAAGCCACACATCAGTAGCAGTCTCAAGTGGCTGAAAGTCTGCCACGCGAAGATTAATGACATTTAAAACAAGTCGTTTGAGGGAGCTTTTGGATGATTATACGGCTAAGGATTATCGCTTGTGTTATATTTAAAATTATATCATGACGAACTCAGTGCATCCGCAATAAAAGTGGAGTAAAATGCATGTACTTTTTAAGGCTGCCTTAAAGTAATTCATTGTAACTTTTTGGAGGTGGAAAAGCACATGCAAGATTCCATAGAAGGAAAAAGGAACAATTCAATATATGCAGCACTCTAAAGCCATGTTGAGGGGGATTCAAGCCAAAAGAAACAAGAAGAGACCGGAAAAGTATGACTAAGGTTTGTTCCCAGACACAAGCTTTTACACTTTTTCTCCATAAAAATGAGCTGCAATCAAATAAAAAGAACTAATTGTAAATCATAAGAACTGGAATTATATATAAAAATGTCATTTGTAGAAATATTGTCTCATAATTGTTGCTAAAAGCTCTTCTAAAGCTCCTCTAACACAGCTCATTTCTTCCTGGATCGGTTTATTATTTCAACACTGAACAACTTATTTTTATCATAATATTAATTCTAGTCATAAAAAGTGGCAATCTATATTATAGGAAAATTTACATTGAAATTCTATTCATGTATTGTTGCAGAGCACGTTAAAGAACACACCTCTTTGGATTACATCGTTCACACTGAACAATTTTATTTTTAGTGGTAGAGGAAATGCCTGGAAGAACTCAGGCAAACTCGAGGTTGAACCATAGACTGTATATATTAACGGACAGAGTCACGCCTATCTCCGCCGTTCTAACTAATGGGCCAAAAATAGTGCTCTGCTGGAGCGATCCAAAATGGCCGCGAGTGGTCCCGCCCACAAGAAAATTGTGAAAAAACACATCTGCGCATGCGTCAGCTGGCGCAGCTCCATTCATTTGAACGAGAGACTTCAAAAATTCACAGCAAGTAAACTAGAGTGGACCAAAAAATTTCACCCCCCGCAGCATTGACACACATGTGGAACGGAGCTTTGGGCCAAGAGCCAACTTTTGGTCCATCCTGTAAAGACGTTTTCGAGAGGTCTGCCAATGCTATATGTTAGCATTGGCTAATTCTTCTTCTGGGTCCACCCCCATCGGCCCGGGGTGGTATTGCAGCATGTCAGCGCACGTCATTTTGGCCACTTTTGAGCTGCCGCATGGCGCCGGAAAGATGGCGCCGTGGCAAGAGCTCTGGTGTGTGTCGTCTGGCGCACACCGGGGTAGTCTTGCACAGTTTTCCAATGTGGTTTTACTGCAAATGGCAAATAAATGAATCTGAATCTGAATCTGAATCTGGGACCCGCCCCCACTGGGTTGAACCCATCCATCCATCCCTCCATTTTCTTCCCTTTGATCCATTTCTGGGTTGACAGCAGAGATCAGTGGGAGTCAGTGGAGAAGGTTCCATAAGGGGCTCGAACCCACGACCTTCAAGCTCAAAAGTCTACCAACTGAGCCACTGTTGAACCCGAGACTTCATATATAAAATATAACGTGGGGGTTTTCCACAAAAACAATGTATGTGACCAGTATGAAGCCTAAAGAATAACAGTTTTCATAATCACTTAGATTTCTCTCAGTAAAATACAAAGCTATAATTACTGATCAAAACAAATAGAGCTTGTCATATTCAAAGTCGGCCTGTAACAATATAATCGATGTATTGTAACTTATTATTATGATTATTGAAATGACGAATTTCGATTAATAATGTTATGACCCTTCCATAGACTTATACCCATGCTGAGAAGAGGTTGTATGACTGTATGAATGAAAATATGTCTACTCCATGTTCTTCTGGGGCATCACTCCAGCTTTGTTTTGCTAAAATGTATATTAAAAAACATAGAGACATTAGAGATCCAAACATCTGTAAATTACCTCCCTAATTCAATGTAAATGGCTGGTCATATTTTTTTTGTAGAAAGTTTAAAGGGCAAGGGAGGTGTACTTTCTGTTTGTTGCCTATTTAAAAAAATCTCCATATCTAGGGGTTCAACATTAACACATTCCGAAACTGCCAATAACCATGATGCAGATATTACCCAATTGCGCGCGTATAATGGAGCGTGTCAATTCCCAGCACTGAGGCCTTGATCTTTAGTTCAGTTACTGCGCGAGGCATTGCTGTTTATTTGCTGAGCCATTATCACTGTATCACTTTGGTCTCCACTCATCAGTCTCCCTCTTCTCTTCAGAGCTTCTTGTGGGCTCTAATTGCTGCCATTGATTGTTCGCGGCAAAGCTAGATGTTAGCGGACGATCGCGCCTGGTTGGCTGCGCAGACCTGCTGATAGCCATCTTTAATGATTTGTGCTTGGAGGAGCTCAGGCCATTTGTACATGCCGGGGTCTCTACAACAATCAGGGAATTCCATCGTTTTTGGACGTCTTCCATAATACCACACAGTTTGAGATTGTAAAAAAAATAATAATAAAGGAGAAAAAAAGACCTACATCAAAATAATACTTGGCAGGGACAGAGGTAGTTGGAGTACTTCACAACACATACAAAGTTGTTGCTAATGAGAATGTTGGCCGATCACAGGTAGAGATAATGGGTTATAAAAAAGCAAAATGACTTTTTCTGCAACCCTACTAGTGCCCCAGAAAAAAAGCACAAATTGAGCTATTTTCCCTAGTCCCCAGGGAGAGACTTTATCGACTCCTAAGATCCACAGCAGACTGTGTATAATTTGCAAAACACTATGCTGATACTGCAAATGAGCTTTAATAGCCGTTGAGGCCGCTTAAGTCGTATAATGCAAGTCTTGGATAACCAGTGGCAGGGACATTTTCAACTGCAAAATCTTCTGCTCCTTCAGTGTCCTTCTCCTGCAGTCAGTCTGGGTTTAGTGCAGAGGTGTCAAACATGTGGTCCACGGTCCAAATATGGCCAACAAAAACCATTAAAGTGGTTTATATTTTCGATCCATATTATTGAAGTAAATTAAGTATAAACATTGAACTAAAAGCTTAATTAGTATTAACATTATTATTAACATTTCTGGGCATTGTTTATCCCACTAGCTCTGGACCAATAGTTCTTATGTGTTTGTTATGACCGTATTTCCTGATTCACTGATCTCCTGTTGGTGAGTCAACAACATTGTAAAGTCTTCTGAGACGACTGCTGTTTTGATTCAGGGCTATAAAAAAAAAAAAAACAATAGAATTATTTAATTATAATTCAATTTAAAAAAAAAGGTAGTTAGTTTTAGTTCAACCCAAACTTAACTGAATCTACCAGAAAGAAACATACACTGAACAAACATACAATGTTTTTTCTCCCATTGTTTTATGAATATATCAATAAACTCTATGCTGGTCATTGTTCCGCTTCTCTTCTATGACTGTGTGAAGTTGCTTCATATCGGTAGGAACTGGAACACACTGTTGTATACATGTTGTGTATACATGTTGTATACATGTTGTATACTGGTCATAGTATATCTGTGCTTTCAAAATGTCATCAATGTCACTCTCTCCACACTGTTGACATCTGCAAACCGCTTACTGACACAATGAGACAAACACTCTTTGCCGCATGCCTTGAACAATGAAAAACAGTATTTATCTTTGGAGAGATTCATCTGAAAACATCCTAGTTCTTGCATGGCCAGAACACTCAACATGTCACACCATTTGCCCATCGAGCATGTTTGAGCTGGATCACCGGTGAGGTGGGATGGATCGTCAGAGCAGAGAATAAGTGCTCACTGAAACAAAGTGAGACAGATTTGTGGTCAATGTCTGATAGAGATAGATAAATAGATAACTATTACAGACTCATGGTCCAGATCACGACTCCCACTGATGACTGCTGTCGTTGTGTCCTTGGGCAAGACACTTAACCCCACTTCGCCCGAAGCCCTCTCTGAAAGATCTCAGCTCCTGTGGACTCACTACCTGCAGGAGGATGAGTGAGGGGCTGGTGCTGTGTGTACTGGGTGCAGCTCTGAGGGGAAGAAAATGGATGGATGGATGGATGGATGGTCCAGATCAACACAAGAACAGACAATAAAAACCTTCACGAGTGTTTCCACAGCACTGCACTGCACACAACACTGTACACAACACTGGGCACAACACTGGACACAACACTGGACACAACACTGGACACAACACTGGACACAACACTGGACACAACACTGGACACAACACTGGACACAACACTGGACACAACACTGGACACAACACTGGACACAACACTGAACAAAACATTGGACACAACACACCACACAACACTGGACACAACACTGGGCAATAATTCAGGTGTAATTTTACCTTAAACATCAGATTTCTCAGCTCACAAAGTGTTTACTCGGTTTGACAGAGTTCACTGGCACTTGTCCACCTGGGATTTTAAAATAAAACACATGTAACTTTTCATAATTCAGCCACAGATGTGCGGTGTACAGAGGTGAGCAATAGGCTCAAAACAGAACTAATTTAATCCGTACAGAGCAGGAGAATTTTCAAATCAGAGTGTTCGCATTCAGTGAATTAAGAGATTCATTAAAGCACCACCAACGATAGAACCAGTGTTGCACATATTCAGCTGCCTGGACAGGTCTACTGAAAGAGCCCAGGGGGCAACAGACTGCCCTGTCTAACAACATTACCAATCTGAACGACCCTTCTCCCATTGGACATGCATAGTCTGATGGGCATACCAGTAAGGAAGACATTAAATCAGATAGTTAGGCACACCTGCATGACACAATTTATTAAATTTCTTTCCATAATTTCTTAGAATTTCTATTTTATTTTTTACTATAGTTACATAGTTATTATTTCAGTGAAAAAACACACATATCAGTTCCATGACTTTCTTTAAAGCCAAACTGATAGTATCAGCGGTAAATGTAACAAGTCTGTTCAGAAGAATATATTCCACAACTTTAGACAGAATATTGGCAATTATTGGCAATCTATAAAAACTTTTATATTTTTTTAGGTTAGACCCATGAAAAAAACCATAGTGCTGCCAAAAGATGATCGAAAAACTAAGAAACCGATGGATATCTATTTGGCCCATGGACAAAATGAGTGATACCCCTGGTTTATTGTATCAGGTATTAAGAGGAACAACTGGATAAGTCTCTGCTTGACTTTTCATTTCCCCCACGGGCAGATGACAAGGGTTATTAGTCAAGACTCATGGTGACAAGCTGTCGGCCGTAATAACATGTTTTGTAGCACCCACAACCTCACACGCTAATTCTAAAGTAAACCCAAACCGTGTAATGGTTCAACGTGTGATGACTTATTAGTGTAATCATGACTAGCTGTCATCGAAGCAATCTATCTCGACTGTATATCTGTTTAAGCCCAGATCATTTATATGGACACACACGCAACGTTGAAGTAACTGGGGATCTTTCACTGTCTACTGTCTGTATACACACGTGTCAAGATTTGATTTAATTTATATGTATACAAGAATTTTCACACTTAAGGCTATTCTCCAAAAACAACATGGGTTTATAAAGATTAAATATGTAAAAACCAGCCCAACGCGTTCCCTCTACTAATCTTGTGTGTAGTATTGCACAGTACTTTTGAAAAGTTTGTATGTTTGTCTTTTGACTGAATTTTGGTTATCTGTTCCTGTGTTACAAGGACTCTTTGTGTGTCTGAATTAAAGATTAAATAAATACATACATTTCAGTCAAAATGCGCTCAATATATCGTACTCTGAAACATTATCTGTTATAATAAATACATTTTTGCACACAACAGACAGAAGTTGTAAAGAGGGCTAAGAGAAGGCCTGGTGATAGAGCTGTAAATGACACTAAATGGTTTGAGAGAAAGAGATGGCAGATAGGCCAAAGCAAACACATCCTCATCGCTAGTGAAAATGGATATGCTGTTTACCCACGGAGGCACAAAGCTGTGCACTGCTCAGGTAAGTAACCTTCCTCCAGCCAAATCTCTTGGATAAATACCATGAGTGTCCCTCTTTATACACAACAATCTGAGTGTTTGTCTTTGGATCCTAAGGATTAGCAGATCAGCACAGTGGGGACTCCGATGTAGAGATGACAGAAAAATAACAGCTAAATTGCATAAAACACAGTATTTCAGAACGTAGCAGACACAATAATGAATAGTTAAGGGATGGATGGTTTTTGTGTTTCTACAACAGTAACAAACTTCTATCATAATGTATTGTAAGCATACATAAAAATACCCTTTTTAATATAACATATAATTATATTAAATGAAGAAACTAGATAAATAACTATAGCAATAAACATGTAACTGGAAAATAATGTATTGTCTCCCATCATGTGTAATATTTCCTTATGAAAAGATTTTATTTAAAAAGAAAAAAAATCTAACAAAAAATACCACCCAAGCGAGTCTTATGGTACGTTTTATTCCCTAACAATTGCACATATTTTCCTCTACAGCCAAATGATACTAAAAAAATGCTTTGTCCAATCTGTTTGCATCTGAGCGAGCCCCAGCCACAATAAATGCAGGTCTCCCGTGATGAGGGCGCATTGAGTTTGTGCGCTGAAGTGAGATATCTGAATCTCTCCAATTCAACATGGGTGGCATCAGTGAAGAGCTGCACATTTGCTTAGATTTGAGCAGAGGCATGTTAGTATTATTGAGTCAGTATGGTTTGGGTTTTATTATCCATGAACCTTAAAGACAGAATGTGCCCAGGCCGTTGCATCTGTATGACCAGAAGAATCTCGGTGGACACACAGCTTTGCCAGCCTCGGTGAACTCACTTTTCCCGTCGAAGCAGATGGAGAGCGCTTTCTAAAAAAGGTGGCAGGGGAGGCTTCTTATCATGCTACTAGATCTCATCTTTTGTATTCAAGAAAGGATTTTTCTCATGCCAGATGGTCTGATTTAACCCAGTCCATGATTATAATCCACCAACTAAGACAATTATATCTATTTTAACTAAATTCTTTGACAATAATGAGCAGAGTGAGTGACTTCGACACTACCCATGCATACAGTACATTTCTTATAGTTTCCATGTGGGCCTAAGTGCACACAATAAATCCAAAAACAAACTTTCTTTTGGCAGTAAGATCATCTTGTATTCTGCCAAAAACAAAAAAAAATTCAACAATGCTAAACTTTATAATTGCACCTTATGGACCAATACCAATGTGTTTGTGGTTTTATTATTTGAATTGTTTGATTCTCTGACGTTGACAAATTTAACAGTTGCATAAAGTCCTCTGAGAGAACTACTGTTGTAGTTTAGGTTCTACACAAGTATACATTGAAATAAATTGAATTATTATTATTAATAACATGCCCATCGCTAACTCGATTTCCTGCAGTAAAAACGATAACTTATAATCAATAATAATAATGCATTGGTTTTATATAGTGCTTTTCTGGACACTCAAAGAACCTTCACATGTCATTATTCATTCACTCCATACATGGTGGTGAAAAACTACTTCTGTAGCCACAGCTGCCCTGGGGCACACTGACAGAAGCGAGGCAACCAGTCTGTGCCATTGGCCCCTCCGACCGCCACCAACCATTCACACACAGACTCATTCTAGGCAATGGGGGTGAAGTGTCTTGCCTAAGGACACAACAACAGCAGACACCAGTGGGAGTCGGAGAAAGTCTTGTGGTGGGCTTGAACTACCGTCCACTGTCACCCCCTGACTTAATTAAATTGTAAAATCCATTCAAATGGGTTTACAGCCTCGTGCTCAGTATTGCATTCTGTATTGATTTGCTCTTTACCTTTTCCAGGCATAGGGTTTTGGAAACAAGTACATTTTCATCCAAACTCGTGTAAATGCCACGTGACAGAATATAGAGCCATCAAAAATCAACATCACGTAAATTATCAGTATTAGTCAATGGAACACAACAAGAGGTCAGTGCTTGGCTGTAACTTTTTTCCTTCACTTTTTGTGGTGAGGCTCTTTTCCAAGGACATTTCCCATAATCCATTTCAGCTGTCTTCATTCAGAGCTGGGCACAGAAGTCCACTTTTGCATCTCTTGGTAAAATAGCATGACTGTTTTTCATAAGACATAAATATCTGTTATAAGGGTCTTCGTATGATCCACTTTCATGGAATGATAAAGTACATTTCCTTACTGTCACTTATGCCCGACTATGCCAACTGCAAGGCTAGATATCCAATTACATACTATACTATCCACACAAAAAAATCAAATAAGCGAGGCATATAAAGCCATGTTTACTGTGCATTTGTGTGAATGTGTTTAGATCCTCGTTTTCCAGTTTCACACGTTGCCCGTTTTGTCATAATTTGTCAACTCTCATAATAAACACAGACATTAATTAACGTCCACTTGAAAATGAGCTAATTACATGGCATCTTCCTCATTTGGGGATTTAAACAATTGGAGAGCGTTTTTCCTTGTTGTGCTGCCTTCTGCCTCCCTGGATGGGAAGTGCAGTGCGCCTGCTGTGACGCTAACAGTGCTGGGTATTCTACCAGATGGATCTGCAGTATGAACTAAGTCTCTGGCCACAGCCTCAGTATGTATGTGTACGTGTGTGTTTGCGTGTGTGTAAATGTGTGTGTGTTGGACTGTGCAGAGCATTTCTGAGACCACACAGGTTCCACAAGCATGTTTAAATCTCACTGCTGCCCTCTATCTTTGTCTGGCCTCGCCCCCATGGGACCAGGGTCAGCAGTTCAATAGCAGTAGGGAAACCTGCACTTGGGCTGGGGCACACTGCTAACACGCCAACTCAACATGTCCTTTGTATGGAGCTGTGTGGTTTGTCCGCTGGAAAAGACTTGCAATAATATGCTGACTCCAAGTAACTCACACAAGAAAGCATAAATATACATTCAAGCCAATGAGGTACATGTCAATGTATGCTTATGCTTACTAGATTTGTAATAAAATTGTATTTAACCGAGATGTTTGTATTTTGAGGTATGGTTAAATTCAACTATTTAAAGACATGCACAGATTCAGTATATCATCACAATGAACAACATTATAACAAACAAAGGCTTGCTACATCTCACTTTGCCTGCAATGAATCTTTTCATAAAAATGTTTCACACTATTTGTGACACAGCTGAATTACTGAAGTAAATGGACTTTTGAACAATATCTTAGTTTGACAAGTTTCACATGTATGTTGCTAGTTGACAGAAATCATTTTCTAAATAGTTACAAGCAGTAAAGGCCAATAAGTCCAGAAAGCCTCTCAAAATGTACAGTTTGTAATTGCAGTCTTCTACTATAGCACGTCTACCTTGTCGTACGAGAAGTAATAAATCCTGTTCATTTTCCCCAAAAGGATTCAGAAAAAGACATGTATATAATACTTTGAAAGATTGTTTGCTGCAAACCAGCAATGTGGTGAATAACGACTATAAGAGCTATAAATAATTATTCTGTTTTTGAATCTTTAGAAAACACCAAAGTTATTAAATCATCACCAAAGGATGACATTTAGTTTATTGGAAGTAGACCAACAAGGGCAGTGTGGCTTGTACAGCTCTGTCGACTGCAGACACTTCCATATGTACTTGTAACTTCTGTGGTCATTTAACCCACAACACATGTCATCAATAAACATCCGTGAACCGTGGAGGCCTGTGATGGAGACATTTCGATCGTGTGGCCATCCGGATGGTCTTAGCTCCTCCACACCTGACTAAAC